TCTTCGATGCTGAGTGAGCCTGTGGAAATTTTTTTCGTCTAAGTGGAAGTGGGAGGAGAGCAGAGAGGGAGATACAGGTGGGGGAAGGGGAAACACAGACAACAGCTTTTTTTGACTAAAACCACAGCTTTTTGATCAAAACCTGCAAAGGCTTTTGGTCAAAGTCTGCAAAGAAAGCTTTTAATAGTTACTATTTCCATTTTTTAAAAAGCCAACAAGGAAACCAAATTGTTTCCATTTACAAATACCAGAGTTTGGTTACAGAAAGCCAATAGCAAAATCTGGTTTTGGATAAAAAGAAAACTAAGCCTGCTCTCATCTTTCAGCCAAAACTTGAAACTTATTCATGGGTAGTTCTGAAAATTAATCAGCACATGCTGTAACAGCTTGTTTAAGACCATCACTTGCGACCAGATTGTTTCATTGTGGGCAAAAGGATAATGATAATCTCCACCTGCATAGCATCCCATGCCCCCTGCCTCCCTGACAGCTTTGCACTCGAGATGACCGCAGCCCAGCCTGGGAAGGTGACAGCCTTCATCAGGAAGGGGTAGTAGAGCAATAAGGCAGTTTTTTTTCAATTAGAGGAAACTGTCCTAATGAGGTCTGGACATGTATGCTGCCTCTCTGCAGGCGTTTCTCCCATATATGTCACCAGGTTCATCCCAGACCGCTTTCCAGGTTGCACAACCCTGGCTCAAGGGCACGAGCCCTGGGAAAAGGCAGCTCAGCAGCACCATCCCACAGAGAGAGGCATTTGTGGTGGTTCTCTAGAAAAGCTCTGCCCCTGAGCACAGGTTCCTGGGAAGGTCTGTCCCCACGCCTACAGCCTCAGCATACCCTGAGATCCCCGTGCCTGGGCAGCAGCTGCCAGATCCAGCCATGGGTGGGCCTGTGCAGAGACCCCTCAGACTGGAGAAGGGGGTCCTTGCTGGCACAAATTAGATGAGACCTCTTGGGGAGCACCCAAGTGAGGAGAGCTGCTCAGGGCTTCATCCAGGCCCACTGTCTCCTCACCCCAGTTATTCATCAACGAGCAGTGGTGTTGGGCTGAGTCCAGACACCTCATTTTGCTACTGCCCATGCTGCACCCTGAGTCCCCTCTGGCCATGCAGATGACTGAGGTTTTCTCCCACCAACCTCTGGAGGTCAGCAACTGGCAGCGCTGGGGCTCTGCATTAGCATAAATACAAACACGACCCAGGAAAGCAATACAATGCAATGCAATGAAGGACGCAGTGGTCTGGAAACAATTCCATTCCATAGGTGACCCCAAATACTTGCAGGGGACAGACACACATCCTGCTTGCACTGCTCTCCTCTATAAGCACACAGGAGCGCAGGATCTTCCTCATTAATAGGAAATGATTAATTTCCAAAACCTGCTTTGCCCATTTAAAAGCTACGGGTCTTGTGCCAATTTGTCCACAAGCAAGCCCCATTTCTGGGAACAGGAATGAATCCGCAATTCACTTTGCCAAATTCCAATGTCATTTTCTTGTTTCGTATCTGAAGGACACTACAGCAAACCCTTTACAACTAAATCATTACTGAATTTACAGAGGTTAGGAGTAGCTGGTAATGTAAAAAAACCCTCTTGGTAAATTTATTGCATAGAGTCTGACATTGTCCTGCATAAATCTCTGTGTTCCTGGTAAATACAAAGATTTCCAGTAAATGAAAGACATCAACAAGAGCAAGTGAATTGGAGAGTTACCTGGTATGGAGGGGAAGCAGGACAGAGACTGCACCCCCAGCACTCATGAGAAACCCCCAGCAAAACCCACTGTGCAGAGCAGGAAAAGGAAACATCTCCCTCACCTGCTCCAGAAAGGTAAATACTGAAGGAGGACAGTGGGAGAAATCACAAAATGGTTTAGGTTGGAAGGGACCTTAAAGATCATCAAGTCCCAACCTCCCTGCCACGGGCAGGGACACCTTCCAGTAGCCCAGGTTGCCCAAAGCCCCGTCCAACCTGGCCTGGAACCCTGCCAGGGAGGGGGCAGCCACAGCTTCTCTGGGCAACCTGTGCCAGGGCCTCACCACCCTCACAGGGGAGAATTTCTTCCTTATATCTAACCTAAATCTCCCCTCTGTTAGTTTAAAACCATTACCTCTCGTCCTATCCCTACACCCCTCATCAAGAGTCCCTCCTCATCTTTCCTGTAGGCCCTTTCAGCCCTGGGAGGCCACTCTAAGGTCTCCCCAGAACCTTCTCTTCTCCAGCTGAACCCCCCAACTCTCTCAGCCTGTCCTCACAGGGGGTGCTCCAGCCCCTGATCATCTTCGTGGCCTCCTCTGGACCCGCTCGAGGAGGTCCGTGTCCTTCTGCTGTTGGTGCCCCCAGAGCTGGACCCAGCACTGCAGGGGGGGGTGTGTGTCACTCTCTCCTCCCGATTTCCTCAGTCACAGAGGGCAAGGCAGCAGCTCTGCCAGGACAAGGCTGACATCTCCTCTCAGGGACACATTTCATCAGGCATCGGCAGGAAAGCCACCAGCCATCATCTCTCAGAGCCACAGCTCTGCTGTGTGCCAAAAGCTAAATATTAACTGAAAAGGAAGACCTCTCTCCCCAGATGGGGTTGTGGCAGGACATGAGGGCTCCTAGCTGGGCTACAACCCACTCTCTGCTAGCTGAAAACAAGTTTTCCTGCCCACTGGGAAAGAGTTCTCACTGCTCGTTTTCATCCAGCTCTCTAGGAAAGCAAAAGTCTTACTTTTGGGTAAGGCTCATTAATCTCATTATTTTTAGATGACATTTCTAGGTGTGTTCTCAAAGCTCCAGGCTCATGGCAGAAGCACAAACAAGAGGATGGGTCTATCATGCACTGATACGAAATCAGTCCCAAAAATTAGTGGAAGTGGATGAAAGGCAAAAAGACTGTGACTGGGGAGATTGAAGAGGAGAAATGGAGGACATCTGGCAGATGACAGATGCTCCCTCCTCTCCCCATGAAGGGAGGACTATGACACCCCAGAAGCTTGCTGACAGTCAGCATGGGCTATGGGATATTGGGTCCAGCATACCCCTGACAAGCAAGTTCCTCTTTGTGATCACATACCTTCCATGTCCATAGCCCAGCTCCCGGAAAGCTCAGTCACATAACTCAGCCTCAGGGTGATAAGACACGGATGCTTAGGTCAAGCCACCACTCTGGTGGAAGGAAGAAATGGCCCTTACTTTGCCAGAGGGGAAAATAAACACTTCGCCCCCGCCCCCCTCCCAGCCTCTGCCATGGTGCGGAGAGTTAACACTGGCCAGCAGCAGACCTGCCCTGCCCACCCCCAGCACAGTCCCTCTCCGAAGCACCCGATGCAGAACCTGTCACGGCAGCAGCGCACCAGCCCTGGCCCTGTTGGCACCATCTTTGGCTGGGAAGCAACAAGAAAAACCAAATGCAGTACCCAAGGGGGAAGGCAGGCACGAGGGGGTTCCTAGGCTCCTGCTGTCCCCTTCAGGCATTTTCCACGCACAGTGACAGCCCTGTGTTACACAACAGCACAATGTTATCAGACACCCAGATTTCCCAAACCAAGGGCAGCTTCCTCAAACACTCACCCACTGCAAGCACTTTGCTCTTGCACACAGTCCCCATCACATCTACTACTGCTGCTTACAACACCGAGCACCCCAGCAACTAGCCAGACCCTCCTGCCCTGCACCTGGGTCCTTACTCATCCCCTGACCACATCCCATTTGGGACTCATTTCTTCCTAACAGGGCTCCTCTGCAGCTGGACTGGACGGCCAGCTGGGGTGCAGCCCACAAGCAGTGGGCAAAGCCTCCCCATATCAACCCAGCTCACCAGGGGACAGCTCTCAGAGACTGCCAGCTGCGGAGGAGCTCCTGGGCTGTCCAAGCTGAGGGAGATGCTTCGAAAACAGCAGGCAGGGAGATTGCACTGGGTTGTTAGGTCGTGACATGCTCCCAACCCAAACTGCTCCACACTGTGAACGTGTCCAGGCAGCCCCAGGGCTGCTGCCAGCGCCTTCGCTGCTCCCATCCATCAGAACCTCCTTCAAACTCAGCAACTTGCACTCACCCATAGTATTGCTCCTACTTTCTCTCCGGGAGCTTCAAGCATCTCCTGGCGACATCGCACTACGCCCCCTTCTTCTCCCTGCCCTTTCATTTCTCTCATCAAAGTTTCTTTTCATCTCCCGCCTCCTTGCTTCGGGGGGTTATTGTTCACATTTCAGCAGCCCACAGAGCCAAGCCACTGTGCTGGGAAGTGCTCTGCACCCAGCATGGAGGTGGGGAGGGGGCGCTGATGTGGCGCCCTCCCAGAGGGAGCAAACACCAGCACCAGAGCAGCTCAAAGCCCCCCTGAACCTCATGAGCTCCCCACAAAACCCACAAACAGAGTTACAACAGTTACGTGGGATGAGGTGCGTGTCCACATCTATCAGACAAGCACATACATAGAAGAAGGAAGACGTAAAGTATGCTTTAGCACAGGCTCAGGACACAGTGTTTAATCTGTACGAGTCTACACACCCAAAAACATGCGCGGGTCATGCCAGCACAATGAAGACCAGTAATCTTAAACGCTAAAGGAAGCAACAGGGATGAAGATCCCCCCGGCTGGAGGGGCAGACACAGCCGGAGGCGCAAAGGTTATCTCCAGATTACAGGTGCAATGCTCCCAGCGTCAGGGTGCGGAGACGGTACAACACGAGAGCAAGACCCAGGAGAGGGAGAAGAGATAACAGCTTGAGCAAAGCGACGCTTTTCAGGCTCTTTGGCAACAGCGAAATCATCCCTTCATTGCAGATTAGCTGATTTTTGTGTCTGTCTGTTTTTTTCCAAAGGTCAGAGCAGCTGTGCAGGTTTGTGTGTGTGTGCCTGGGTGTTTGAAGGAAAATACTGACCCCTTTTGAGGTTATTCAGTGTTATGTTTAGTTCATTCCCTTCATCACTCTAAATAATTTGGAAAAATTTTTAGAATCACTCATGCTCAAAACCAAACTATTTGCTGAAACTTCTTTTTCTTTTTTTGACCATTTCATTGTTCTTCGTCTGCAAGGGCATCACCAGAAGCTCCTCAACTAGCCTTCCTCAGTCCTCAGCTGCTGAGGGGAGATGAGGCTTTCAGCACGTTTTCTGCAGAGCCAAGTATGTGGAGTCCTGACCCAAAGCCACCAGCAAAGCCCTGCTGTGCCGTCCCAAGGGCAGTCCTCACCGCAGACAAACCACAACTGTGAAAAAAAGACAAAGAATGTGAGTGAGATGTGCTGGCTTGGAAGCACAAGAGGGGAAATGCTGTGCAGAGACATTTCTCTTTTCACCTAGAAGTGTGCCCTCCACTCAGCTCATAGCATGCTTACTTACAGAGCATGCCCAGGCCCCACCAGCAGTGTAAAACACAGGCTTTGCCCCACTTCTGCTGCTCCAGCCCACATGGCTGGCAGCCGAAGGCTGCAGCATGCAGGCTAGACTGAACTGGGGGTGCTGGGACAAAAATACATGTTTTTTCCCCATTTGCACTGAATGTTGACATTTTGCCAGAATCCAAACCCCCACAGTTGGTTGTAAATCATCCATCAATCACTATTTTTATAGAAAAACCCCTTTGCTGCCTCTCGCCACCAGCAAGCCAGGCCAACGCATGCCAGAACATGGGGGCAGGCATGCTGCTGCTGCCTCAGAGCCAGGCAGCATGTCAGGGCTGACGCACGCCAGCCCTAACTGTACCTACAATTTTACAAACTTCATAAATGCATGTGTAAAATAATCTACTTATTTCTTTAAAAAAAAAAAATCAACAAGTTGAGAAGCGCAGTACAACAGACAACCTTAGCTGTGAGCTGTTGATTTTTATATGATATATTATATGCGAATGTGCCGATGCAATGAGCGGAACGTACCAATTTGGGTAATTGGTGAGGGCCTGAGAGCATGTATGCACTGCTGATCTGGTTGCCTTAAAATGTATGTATATTTACAGTGCCAGCTTGTTTGCATTTCTGATGATCTGAAACACTGAGAAGGTAATCAGCTCCTCTAGTGCACGCAATCAGCTCTGCAGCGTTCGCCTCTCTGTTGTGGGTGAAGCTGCTAAGTCTGTAATTTTAAAGCTGACAAACGCCATTAAACTGTTAAATGGAGCAGGGGAAGGCTGCTGCCAAGACCAAGCACTGTAGCGATGCTCCCTTCAGCCGGGAGGACACCCTGGTGCTGCAGGGAGATGAAGAAGGTGAGAAGCAACACCAGGCCCCGGGGCTGACCAACAGTCATGATGGGACCTCACTAATACTTTGAGGCTGGTATGGATTTAAGCCTGAGCATTGGCTCAACTCTTCTGGCTGGATGTTAGCATTCCCAATCTCCCAACTAAAATCCACTTGAGTAATCAACTGTAAAGCTAATGACTCGGGCCCCAAATCAGCAAAGTACTTGAGCACATGCTGAAGTCCCATTGAAAGAAATTAGACCTAAGCACACACTTTGCTCTGAGGGGAGGGGGCTTTACGTAAAAAGTAGTAAGAAGGCGGTTCAAAATACGTGCAATATTCTATGGAAGCAAACCATACCTGCTGGAGTGACCTCCAAGCACCCTGCTCAGCGTTCGCAAGGACCTTTCTGAAGCACAGGGATCATAAAGCCTTAGACCTGGCTTTATTCTGTTGGCAGCCAAACCTGAATAAGCATCAGAGGATAGCCCCAGCACTCCAGGCTGCTCCCAGGTCCTGCACACCCCACAGCCATGCTGTGAGAGCACTGCCTGGCGTGCCTCCTCCTCACCAGCAGCACTCCCCTGGCTTTTCTGAGGACGAGTGCCCAAGCAGGACAGAGTCTGTACATTCCCCCAGCCGCACCATGGCCACACACCCCCTCCGATGTTGCCCCTTGCACCTGCCCGCCAGCAGGTTCAGAGAAACTCAGCACTTCAGCCCCTCCCAGCCACCTCCGTCACACTCCAGAGTGGTGGGACGAGCAAAAACCAAGTTTCCCTATCCACCAGAGAACAGGAATAGCTGTTCTCTGGTGGACAACACCTTGCTCTGGCAGTTTGTGCTGGTAACTCCCCAGCGCAGTTGAAATCTAGCTATAACCTGCCTTAAATATGGGATTTTACAGCCCCACAAGGTGTTAATGCGTATATATATTGATAACCAACCTGATCAAAGGAGACCATTTCCCTGGAGGTTTTCCAGCATCTGGATATCTTTATTATGGTGAATTACTTAGGTCAAAGACCTAACTTGTGTAAACTGGCACAGCCCTGCTGAAATCAATACCCCTACTCCAGCTCCTATTATTTGATGAGGTGGCCCAGGATCTCTACATTGGTTTTATTGTCTTCTGCCATCATCTGCCCAGTTCCCATTTCAGGGCCTCTTGCTGAAGTTTGTCTTCATAAAGAAATTCAACCAGGATGCACATATTCAGGCTAAAACGAAGCGTAAATAGGGCTCAGAGAGAGGAGAAAAGAGAGCAGATGTGCTGAAGCAGGCGGAGCTTTGCTGGAACCTCTTGGCCCTGAGCCTCAGGCACAGCCCTCTGCTAGCCACCGAGCAGCTCAGAGACACAGAATAACAGGGAGGCTTGTAGAAGCAATAACGAGGACTGAGCTACGTGTATAGGTTGAGCAGAGCTGATCCTGGCTGTATCAGGATGGGGCTGAGCGCATGCACAGGGGCAGCTCCTGCGCTGCAGCACAATGAGAGGGCTTCAGCTCTGCACCATCACAGCGGCTGCCTGGGCTCTACCCTTTCCTCCACAGATTAAAAAGCAAAATGCAACACCATCCATTCAGCTAATCCATCCATAATTGCTCTAAGCAAACTGAGAGGCTGAACATCTAGCTAACAATTTTTAAAAGATACTCAATTCTTCTATTTTTCTGCTCATTTTCATTTTGTCTGCAGAGTCCTGGGGAGAGGGTGAATGCTGCAAGCAAATGAGTGGACCAGAACACCTTTACTTGTAACTGAGAAGTTCAGATGCGTTTGCCATGTCGGGGAGGGTTTGCTTTCTTTAGGTCTCCCAGTGCTTTGGAGATTACTCCTTGGTTTCCTGGAGATCCCCGGGTCCGACACTTCCCTTTAATCCCTTGTAAAGAGGTGTCCAGCCCAGGGACAGAGCATGTGGCCAGCCTAAGACATGGAGGACCAAGAGGCATTCACGCTCTCCCACATGCACACAGGATGAAAAGGCATCTGCAAAACCCAGGAAAAACCTTTATTACAATGGCCTCCCGCAGAAAGTCAAAAGCAAAGTCAAAAGTCTTTTGCAGAGGCAACTGCAGCCATCAGGGTAAAAGAGAAGGCCACGCTCGGCCTCTGCAGTGAGACTGAACCAGTTTACGTGCTAATCCCAGTGTGAGCAACCAGAGCTGGCACCAGCCAGAGCCAGTTGTCTGACTTCAGCATTTGGCAGGGAGGGACAGATGAACAAAAATATGTAGCACAGGCACTGGCTGCCCAAAGCCATGGGTTGCTCACTGTCAGCAAACAGAGCCAGACAGAAAAATAAATACAGAGAAGATCTTGAATTTGGAAAGCGATTCCCGTGCCTCTGCAGGCTTCAGCAATACCTCTGCCTTGGCTTTTTAGTATCTGCAGCATGTTTTATGTTGTGGCCAAGGGCAGGAAGAAAGCTCCCATCCCTCCCCCAGCTCACATGTGTCTGTGCAATGCCTCCAAGCTCAAGGATATTTCAGCATTTGTTATTTCTGGGGGGAAAAAAAAAAAAAAAAACCAAAAAAAACCACCATAATCTGGGGCCAGAGCAGAGGAGGAATGAGGGCAAAGAAGGGATTTTGGCAGGCGAGCACTGGAGGATGATGCTGTGAATGGGGTTATATTCTAGGGGACGGTAGCCCAGTGCTCCCATGGGATGGCCAGTGCCATCCTCGCTGTCAGCCCAGGACCCAAGCATCCATCCCCACGGATGATTTTGGAAATGCCACCTGTACATGTGCAACACCACGACACTACATGGCACTGTGACAGGGCTGGCACTCAGCTGACAGTACAGAGGGCACCAAGGCAGCACTGGGAGAGAGGGAGGGAGGGATGCGAGGCAGAGTGCAGATCTAAATAAGGCCACAGAGGTAAGGGAAGGATCATTTTAAACAGTTAAAGTTTCATTTTAATGGATACCACAAGGGGGAAAGCATTTCTGATGGCAAAGGGCGAAGCATGTACTTTCTTTTTCTGGACAACAGCTTTTACAGCCAGCCTCCCTGAGGAAAGGAAGCACGTCTGCATCCATGTCCCCCTCCCTGCCCCACAATTTTAGAGACAGTTTAATTTTAGCCAGGTCAGTCTCAGGGGACTTCTGCTCCTACGCCTTCTAGGAAGTGGAGACAGTCAAGTTGTGGTCAGTCCTGCTAATGAACCCCGCAGGGAAGATGCTGCTACCCCAGGACACAAAGTCCACTTGTGCCCTCTGGCTAGTAGCTGCTCAGCACTTGTCCTTTATACTCATATCTATTTCCATTTCAAGGGAAAACCAAGGAGAAATGGCTAAATACTAATCCTGCTCCTCTTCCCTGCGATGTACCCAGCAAAGTCTCTCGCCCTTTCCTCCCCGGGGAGAGCCAGGCAGTGGGGCAGCACCGAGCCCAGGTACCCTGCTCCCCCTCCACAGGCACAGCACGCTCTTCTCCTTGGTCAGTATTTCAGTCTGCAGATCAGATGTCTCAATTTCCAGCCAGATTCCCTATAGCACACAGTTAGCTACGCAGTATTTTCTCCTCAGTTCAACTCCCCCATTTTTCTGAGAAACATGGGACTACTACTTGCTCAAATACATATAATATCCTTTCAGAAAAAAAAATAAAATAAAAAATCTGCTGGTGCAGCTAAATGGCCAAACCCCAGGCAAGCTCATTGAGCACACTTCTGATCTGTATTTCAAATTCTAGCATTAAGCTTGTCCAGCCTGAACAGCCTAGATCTCCAAGCACCTAGCAGGGGTGTACCCCACCTTCCCCCCAAAAAATCATTATCATTAGCATTTCTGAGACTGGATCAGACAGCTATCTGCTGGAAATAATCAAGACAGAAGCTGGTGGTGCCTTGGCATACCGGACACCTCATCCAGCCCTAGTTTTATGAGTCTGTGCTTTGCATCAGGGTAAACTCACTGCCACTTAAGCAGATTGGCTCAAGGACAGCTAATTAAGTAAAGCCAAGCAAATCAGTCATTGGAAATAACAGCTCTAGTGAGCCTCACATCTTTCTGTCCTTGTGAAGTGATTGTGATCCGGTCCATTTTCTCACACATTCACTAGGGAAAACATAATGTATCATTTTCTGACCCCAAACCTTTCCAAGCGTTTGCTGGCAAACCATGGTGCTGGGTACATCTGCTCCAAAACCAGCAGGGAGAACTTTCCTCTTTCTAAAAGGACCTAGTTCAGAGGACAGAAGGGTTTTCTATCTCCTCCTGAGGCTGGTGGGAGTCTGATACCATCCGTGGACTCCAGCAACCCACATTACCAGATCAAGGAATGTGTATGTACCCAAGAGTAGAGATTCCAGGTGAAACCCCTGTGAATCACAGCAGAAATTGCTTCACAGTTCATTTTTTTTCCTGGTCTGTTCTGAATATCATTTGGATTTGGGGCTAGAGAGGGACCACAGCTTGGCCTAGCCCCTGCTGCAGTCCCACTGGCTCTCCCATGGCATGGGGGAATTAATAATTAAACGTGGGCCAGGTGAGGAGTAGTGGGGCTATAAAGCAGCTGTAATATTTCTCTTTTAAAAGACCGTCAGGGTGGGAGCTGGAAGCTAAGTGGCAATTGATCTTACTTCTGCAGAACAGCCTTTTGAAGTAAATTATTAGGGATGAGCCGGTCATTGCCATTTACATTTCCCATTGTTGATGGCAGACGCCAGGGACGGGAGAAACAGCACAGTCCACCTAGCAAAATGCTAAGAGCACAAACCACCCCATCAGCAGTATGTTTGTGAGTGGAAGAGACCCTTCCCAGGCACCCAGCTGGAGGCTCTGCCCTGCCACGGTACCTCTCGGAAGTCTTCAGCTAAAACCAGCTCTAAGTCTTTTAACTGCTCCCTCCACTGTGGCAGTGGTTTTACTCCAGCTGCCTAAGTTAGGCAACCCCAGGGCTGGCTACTAGCATGTTCTGCAACATACCTGCAAGCATCGGGCTGGCCTCAGTTGCCCTCCAAGCCACAGAGCTCTCCCCAATATTAATGAACTGGGCGGCTAAGCCCATCACCCTGACTTTGGACACCACCCCAGGGTGAGGGTGGGAGCACTGCTACTGGAGCTGCTGGCTCCCCAGCCATTCACTCTGGTGTATAGGGTGCTCCTACCTTTCTGTATTTGGACACCAAGTGGAAACTCAGCTAGAAATCACCGTGTTTTAAACCTGATGGATCTGAGCCCAGGCATTGTCCTTCGTGCTTTTAACAGCCCGGCAACTCTCTGGGTGTCTGTGCACAAAGACAGGCAATGTCATCTTCCCGCGGCGCTCTTAACTGCTTATCGATCCCAAAGAGCCTTTGAATGGATTTCTCTGGCTAGCTATCATCCTCCATAGCCTGAGAGATCTCTTCTATATTATAAAGTAGACATCTCAGTTATAGCTTTATTTACTGTGAATGAGCAATTAAGCCATCCCGGTTCAATTTATGGCTAGCACAGATAACTCCTCTTAACACAAGTCAAGGCCAGTTTAACTTTTGGACACTTTCCTCTTGCCAGGTGAAAAAACAAAACAGCTTTATTTGTGCATTTTTTAAGTCTCTAGCCCAAATTCAAACCTCATCTGAGGTCAGTCTGGCACAAGATGGGAAATTATTCCCCAAAAGTGTGTTTAACAGATTTCCACTGCGCTCATTGAAGTCACAAAGGCAGAACTCAACTTATCTAGCTTTGTCGTCTGAAAGTTAAGCTACATCCTGAAGCTGGTATTCGGGATGTTGGTGCTTTCAGTACCCACCAGGATTTAAATGTACAGCTCGGTACTCAGGACAGCACAGCAAAGACATCAGGCTATAAGGCCCATCAGGAGAAAGGCACACCCAGCCAAGCCCGTGATGCTGCTCTGCTTCACAGAGGAGAAAGACACTGTCACAGGAGCGGGGCCACCCAGGCAGCCGGGTGGTGACGGCAGGGACCCAGCCAAAGGGCCAGCCAGCCTCGGCGGAGGGGCTGGAAGCCTGGACACCCCTCCCAGCCCCTTTCCAGCACATCCCAGGTGTGCACAGCATCCCAGCACACAAAGCCTCTTGTGGGGCTGAGCCTTAGCTGCTATTCCAACAGGTTTTGATGCATAATGTGTGTACTTTATGGCTTTACAGAAAATCACCTAGATTGATACAGATCTGCACTTTATTAATGTTTCCACCTACCAGCAGTGAATTAATCCATTTGGAGACCGATCTAACTTCTCAATAATGCCCAGATTTTCCACACTGTCAAATTCATTTCTCATTACCCATTAGGGCAGGTGGAGTTCTGGTAGACAGTGGATCATCTCAATGGCACTGCGTAATGTTCCTTCCAAGCTGCCAAGCTGACAAGACCCCACTGAGAATACGCCCTGCTGGTGGCTGTCCTCTCTGGATGAGAGCCTAAGGTATTTTAAGAAAATCTCTTTTTAACTGACTTTATGTCTTGGCAGGACAGCACATTAATATTGGGGAGAGCAGGGGGAAGCACTACTATTTCTGACTTAAGCGCTGCTACACGACACCATTTTTTAAAAAAACATTGTAGGAGTTGCTGCCTTTGCTCTCAGAGCTGGTTTGTAGGGTCAGAAACAGGCTTAGTTTTGGATTTCTTCAGCTGAGCTCTTCTGCATTTGGACCGGCAGCACGTGTTGACGTGCCCAGCGTACAAGGATGCAGCCTGCCTTCACCTGCCGCCTGGGAGCCATGGACACCAGAGTCCCTGACAAAGAGCTGTTGCACCCAGCCAACTCTCTCCTCCTGATGATTTGTTGAACACCCAGTTTCTGTTTTAGGCCTCATTTGTTCCCTGGTGTGAGATACTTCCCTGGCTGATGACCTGGAGATCATTTCTGATGGCGCTACAAGAACGATGCCAGCAACCACTCGCGTGCAGCCCATCACCTGGCACTGATCAGAGCCACGCTGCAACCCAGGGGGAGCCGCGAATATCTCAAGAAGCTGCTTTTTCTTAATTACATTCTTAGAGAGGTTCTAATAAATAAATAAAT